GAATATATATGTAAAGATCGAGACATATAGATTAGATTATTTTCGTAATAATCAAAATGAAATGCGTGCTGAACTTTACGAAGGAATTGTAGGTTGTGTCAAATCTGGTGAAACTCGAGCAGCTATGATTGGTAAAAGAATTATTTTGCCGTCGTCTTTTACTGGTGGTCCAAGGGATATGAACAAAAGATATACGGATAGAATGTTATTAGTTCAAAAGTTTGGTAAACCTGATATTTTCTTAACAATTACTTGTAATCCAAATTGACCTGAAATAAAAGATCAATTAAAGTACAATGACGAACCACAAAATATACCTGATCTTTTAACTCGAATCTTTAGAGCTAAGTTAGAAGAACTAAAAACTGATATAATAAAAAATAAAATCTTCGGCCCTACAATTGCATATATATGTGTGTGTGTGTGTGTGTTTTATAGAATTCTAGAAAAGAGGTTTACCACATGCTCATTTTTTAATCATTTTAGAACGTGCATACAAGATCATTGCTCCTGAATCCATAGATAAAATTGTTAGTGTTGAAATTCCAGACGAACGAATTTACCCTCATTTATACTCTGTTGTTGTTGCTCACATGATACATGGTCCTTGTAACATTTTAAATCCAACAAATGTATGCATGAGTAGAAATAAACAATGTAGAAGTCATTTCCTAAAAGATTAAACCTTGGAAATGATATTAGGTGAATCTTCATACCCGAAGTATAAACGTTTAAATAATGGTAGGAAAGTGAAAGTTAGAGGACACTGGTTAGATAATAGGTGTATTGTGCCTTATAATTCATATCTCTTGGCTAAATTTAATTGTCATATAAACGTAGAAATCTGTTCTACTATCAAAGTTGTGAAATATTTGTATAAATATGTATACAAAGGACATGATAAAATTTCTTTCTCAGTACATTCTGAAGAAGCTGTGGTTGACGAGAATTAAAAATTTCCAAACAGCTAGATGGATTTCCCCTCCTGAAGCATTGTGGAGAATTTTTGGTTTCATTCTTTCTAAAATAAATCCTCCAGTCGTTACTCTTCAATTACACCTTGAAAATAATAATTTAGTTACATACAAAAGTTCCGACAATCTTAAGAAAATTGTGAGTACAGAATTTTCGAAAAAAACCACGTTAACGGAATTTTTTTACATGAATCTTGCAGATAAAAAGGCTACAACTCTTTTATATAAACAATTTTTAGAATTTTTTTGTTTGGGACTCACATAGTAGATGATGGAGTCATAGAAAACAAGGTGTTTGTATCAGTAGAATAGTTGCAGCCAGTCCAAAGGAAGGAGAAAGTTATTACTTACGTCTTTTATTAAATCATGTTAAAGGTCCAACATCATATCAATCTTTGAAAATTGTGAATGGTGTTGAAACTTCATCTTTTCGAGAAGCTGCACTTTTACATGGTTTACTTAATGGAGATGCTAATTGTGATTTATGTTTACAGGAAACTTCAGAGTATCAAATGCCTACTCCATTTCGTCGTCTTTTTGCAACAATTCTAACTTTGTGTGCTCCAAATGATCCGAAAAGTTTGTGGAACAAATTCAAAATATTTATGATAGAGAATTTCATACACGCTGGTATGTCTATGCAAACTGTTGAACATAAAGCTCTTTTAGAAATTCATACAATTTTAGAACTTTCTGGTAAATCTATTAATAGTTATGGATTTGTATCATACAATGTAAATCTACAAGAAGATGAACATGCTGCTAGAGTAATAAATGACAAACTAAGCATTAATGTCTCAGAAGTAGATATTATATGTGTACATCAACTTAATATTGAACAAAAAGCAGCATATAATACAATTCTAAATAAAGTAGATACTAATGTTAGCGGCATGTTCTTTATTGATGGCCTGGTGGAACAGGCAAAACTTTTTATATCGTGCTCTGCTAGGTAATGTTAGATCAAGACAAATGATTGCTTTAGCAACAAATCTTCTGGTGTTGCAGCAGGTCTTTTGCCTGGTGGACAAACAGCACATTCTAAATTTAAAATACCTCTAGAGATTTGTAGTGACACAATATGTAACATTAGTAAACAGAGTGCTCTTGCTGAACTTTTCCCATTGACTAAACTAATCATATGGGATGCAGCTCCAATGGTGAATCGATATGCAGTTGAAGCATTAGATAAAATGTTAAGAGATATTAACAATAGTGAGTTCCCATTCGGAGGTAAAGTTGTTGTCTTATGAGGAGATTTCCATCAAATCTTACATGTAGTTCAAAGAGGTACTAAAGACAATGTAACAACAGTAAGTCTTGTTAGCTCTTACTTATGGCCATTATTTACAAAACTAAGATTAAGTGAAAACATGAGAGCTCGATTAGATACATCATTTTCTAAATATTTACTCAATATTGGAGATGGAATTGAAAAGAAACATTCATGTAATATGATACAACTTCCGCCTAACATAACTATAGATTTTGAAGAACATATTACCTCTTTACAGACATTAATAGCATGTTTGTTATCCTTTTATTTCCATGGAAAATGGAATTCCATTTTCCTCAAATTATAGCGTTTGATGGCTAATATTTTCCCACCCAAATGTTTTCTACCCAGCCCCTTCAAGTTGACGATAAATGGTGGGAAAATGATTTCCATCTGCTGCTTCATATATATATATATTTTATTTTTTTTAGTAATGGAAACAAATTTCTTAACCAAGTGTAAAAAAAAATTTCACTTTCATGAACAATTTTGATGCAAACGAATGCCAAACGAACATTAAACTTTGATGAAAAAATTGATTTTTTAGGAAACTTTTTTTTTTTTTGGGAACGGAAACAAATTTTATAACCAAGTATGGAAAAAATTATCACTTTAATGGATAATTTTGATACAAACGAAAGCCAAACGAATACAAAATTTAAAAATTTTTCGAGTGAAAAATTATACAAATCAAACACACTTAATTAACAATTCACTGGAAAACAATTTCTAGACAATTACTTTCCTTGTAATTCATTATCTTTCCACCCATTTTTCACCATTGCAATCAAACGGACCCTAATAGATATAGTTTACCCAGATTTAAATCATTATGCTGACAATCTTCATTACATAATTGATAGAGTTATTCTAACTCCGATAAATGAATACGTTGATGAAATCAATACTTTGTTGATTAGTCAACTTCCTAGAGAATGTTTTACCTATTTTAGTTTTGATGAAACTATTGATACATCTGACCAAAGCATGCAGGAAGACTTTTTAAATACTTGAACTCCAAATGGTGTACCTCCACATGAACTAATACTAAAACCAAATTGTCGTGACATATTACTTAGAAACATTAATCCTTCAGAAGGCCTATGTAATGGAACTAGACTGATTTGTAAAAGTTTTCGAAGAAATATCATAAATGCTGAGATCGTAGTTGGAAATTATAAAGGAAAAAAAGTATTTCTTCCTAGGATACCTTTCATTCCACTTCAAAAGCGACAAAAATCCTTTCCCTTTCAAAAGAACACAATTTCCAATTCGTCCATGTTTTGCAATGACAATCAATAAATCTCAAGGGCAAACACTTGATTTTGTTGGTTTATATCCTCCTGAACCAGTATTTTCCCATGGACAATTATACGTTGCTTTGTCTTGAGCGAAAACTAGCAAATCTATTAAAGTTCTTATCAAACGAACAACAATCCAAAAATCACATATGAAATGTACTAAAAATGTTGTTTACGATAAAATTTTAGCAATGGTAAATACATAAAAATCTCTTCTCATTTACATTTGCTAATAATAATTACAAACCACATTTTACCTTTGTTATTTTTATCCACATAGAAATATATGTACTAATTCTTCTTATCTTCTCCCTAACCCACCAATTTCGACCCATCACCACCAGACCTACCGTGGAATCTAAGAGTTGAGGGAATTAACTTTCCACTTGAGCTTTCAAGCTGCAAATGATACCAGCTTAGATAAATCTAAAAATGTCCACCCCTTAAATTTACACGAATGGATAGAGTGATTCAGCCACCCTTGGTAAGCTCTTCTTTTCTTTTTCTTTTTCAGCCATTCCATTCAGCCTCAACTATTTGAAAGTGAATTAGGTCTAAAAAAATAATCTTTCTTACAGAACATTCATTTCTTTGTTTAGAGAGAATGGAATCCTGTTGTTTGAATATCCCAAGATCTTTAAAAAATTTGCTTTCGAGATCTAAATTTGATACTCAAATTCCAGTTGAATTTTTCTTTCTTTTTTTATCCTTTTGTACTGTAACTTACTCTTCATTAACTTAAGCATTTGTAGGTCCAAAATATTGCTAAATTATAGATTTGCACATAAAGGAGGAAAGCTAATTGTAAGATTGGAAATGATTTGCAAATCCTTGAATTAGTGTCCAACCAAATTCAATATTCGGATTCTAATTCTTAAATTCAAAATCATATCCATAAAATTGTGAAAGAGAAATCATCCTTAGACATTGTTTTTATTACCTCATATAGTTTTCAGTTTGTATATATGTTAAATGACGTCGTAGTTGGGATTCCATCTCAAATCAGGATATTCATCATTAGAGGAATTTTAATCTTGTTTTGGAATATAGATTGGATCATGGCAATAGAACATCTTTACATTGATACTTCACAGTGACATACTAATTTGGGTTCCTAGGATATGCTGGACTGACGTATTAATATATTTTATGTTGTAATTTTATTACTTTAGGCACTAGAAGCTCCCAAAGAACCTCAACGTCCTAAAGCACAATGAGATCATGTTCTGAAAGAGCTGGTTTGGTATCAAACATAATGAAAATACATTCCTTTCATATGGTCCATTGCATGATAATTTGTTGTGTTATATATATATATATA